GTTTCAGACATTTTTTTTCAAAATCTAAATAGATATTACAGATATGTAAAGTTAAAGGCTCCCTGAAGGCTAAAGTTTTTTTTTTAGAGCGGCCACTGTTGCATGACATTCCCCTCTTTATCTCCCTCTCCCCTCGTTACCAGTAAGTCATTTCTCTTCTAAAGAACATGAGCCCAAAACTACTGAAGAAAAACAAACAGATTCAACATTTTACTCAATATTTTCTGGTTATATAGATATAATATATGTATAAAATAACCATTTCAAGCATATGTATGTATTGTTTTATATGAATATAAAATGTTTTTTACAGAAAGTCCTGATTTCTTAACGGATACAAAGACAATATTTCCAGTTGGCAGACTCTCAGAGCTCAGGCTAATCTGTTCTCACAGTCCAGAAAAAGCTGTGCCACATAACAACCATTACCAAAACATAATCAAATGTGTCTTATCTTCAAATCAGGGTTGGCAAGAAACCGCTATTTATAAAAGTAAACAGACAAAAGTGCAGTGTGTTAGCCTTCCAGCCAGCTCATTACTCTAACTCTGTTTAAAGAGGAAATAAAGGCCTTCTTTGTTACGCAGGACGTTTCATATTGCATAAAAGTTAATGTGCCATTTTAGTTTGAGAGCAGCAAGCTCATGTAGGACATTATTTATGGAGACAGTTCATTATGACATTATTACTCATGATGCATAACAATCAATGTGGAATTATAACCTTGTAATTCCTAGACAACCGACGCTAATTATTCATCCATCTAGTCCATCAACCTCGTTTTATAGCACTTTGTGTCACTTTAATGGACAGTGAATGTGATGAATGTTATTCTTTTGTTTTAGAGACGCAAAGCAACAACAATAAAGACGTTCTTCTTCTCTTGTTTAAATTTAAATAAAGGGTTTGTAACAGAATACAAACTATTAATTTACATCCTCATGCAACTATTGATTATCGTCCGTAACAGAGGGCTTCCTTGTATGTGTAAATGTACTTGGCAATAAACCCTGATTCTGGTAGCTGGAAAGGTGCCAGTTCACTTCCTGAGCACTGCCGAGGTTCCCTTAAGCAAGTCATTGAACTTTATTTTACATACTTCATTAATCCCTGAGGGGGGAATTCGGGTTTACACAGGCCCAAAAAACGCACGTTCACAAACAGGACCTATGAAGCAGCTATATAGGGAGCATGCCAGAGGTGTTGGGGGGTTCGGTGTCTTGCACAAGGGCACCTTGGCAGTACTCGGGAAGTGACCTGGCACCTCTCCAGCCACCAGAACGACTTCCATACGTTGGTCCACACCGAGACTTGGCTTACTGCCGCCCCAATTTGTCAGTCAGATGACGCTGCAAAAACAAATGTTACCCTTGTCTAATTGACCGCTGCCCGTGTCCAAGTCAAAGTGGTTTAGCTGTAGGAGAAAATATAACATGTTCTAAACATGAATTTGCTCCACTTCCCCACAAGCACCTCGTGACATGAGTAAACAACAAACACGAACCTGAAGATGCAGAAGTAACATCCACAAGTGTTCAAGCTCTTTTTAGAGTTGTTTTGTATCTCTGAAATGTTTGTGTGTTTGTCTAGTCATTTTCTTTATTGAAACTCAGGAACAAATCAACCACAATTTAGCCCTAATTTGGATCAACTTTGAGACAGATGATTGCAGGAATGAGATAGATGCTCCGCAGGATGATGTCTTATATTTACTAAAATTACAGCTGTGTGTGTGTTTGTGTGAGACTGTAGCCAAATCTAATCAGCTTCAGTAATGAGCATCTCCTGCAACCTACTTAGCCACTTTGTTAAAAGGAAAGCACCCAATTTAGTTTAAAACAAAAAAAAAAGGAAGAAATTAGCAGAAGCAGTTCTGGGTGAAGTTCAAATGACCCTTGTTATAGAAGCTAGGAAGGGAAATGGGTTGTGACTCCAAACATGGGAGCTTAGCCAAGCCTCGTGGTTGTGCAGCTTTGTTTTCTGTTAGACTTCAGAGTGTGTGTGTGTGTGACCTGCAGTGACCTCTGGCAATTACAACACTTAACCACTACCTTATGTTTGAGTTACAAACCTATTTAAAACCAGCAAAATCACATTATGGTTTCTGGGTTTTTTTTAAATTTAGAGCTCACTGATATTGCCTTAAAAAATATATATTTCTATGAGATCTATTGCTCATAAGGGTTGCCACAATATCGGAATTTTAATCTTGGTTTTGATACCAGTACAATTAAATGATATCAATGCCTACTTTTATACCAAAGCAACAAAAATACAAAATACAAGTGCTTAGTATTTGGTAATTTTTTATGTTTGATCACCAAAAGTTGCAGGCAAACTACTGCACACTGCCTAAATTGTGCAAGTACATCAGCAACCTTCCCTACTGCAATGTTGCCAACTTATTTGTACAATTCAGAAAACTGTGTTTAAAAGCTTCAGTGCTTTTTGATACAATCTGTAAAACAACAGTGATTGTTATTTTATTAACACGTGGTATCGAAAAGTATACTGATACACCTGACAACACAGTAAGCATGCAAAAAAAAGAAAGTTAGGTGCACCGGTGGCCTAGTGGTTAGTGCGCGCGCCCCATGTGCAAAGGCTGTAATGCCCCAAACAGGCAGCACAGTATCGATTCCAACCTGTGGCATCTTTTTCCGCATGTCATTCCCCTCTCTCTCTCTCTCCATCTCGCTCTCCCTGACTTCTGACTCTATTCACTGTCCTGTCTCTAAATAAAAGGAATATAAAAAAATAAAATAAAGAGTTTGATTCCTTTTGGCTTTAAAATGTTTCTTTTGGTATCAGATCTACACACTTAAAAGTATAAAATCCCCATCCAAAACAAAATAATAGAAAAGCTGTGACGAGAGAAGGGTAGAGAAAAGAACAACAACCAGTTTGGGGAGAATCGAATAGTTAAAGAACTACGGTAGGTCTGTAAAAAGCAGCAAAAGTGTTCATCTGAGGAGGTCACCAGCTGCCTTGCACTCTGTCCTGCGGTTCCAGCTCGGGCTTCACGGCTCTTTTCATGCTTTAGTGAAAGTAGGCAATAAACCACAGGTCCCGGACCACAAGACCGCAGGCCCTGCCCCAGCTGAATGCAGAGCCATGACTAGGGATCAGAGCTCGCCAGGCGACGTCTGGTCTTGATTCATCGCCATCGCACACAATTAGGAAGTCATCTGTGCAGTGAGATTTTTTTATACGACACTTTCTTCCCCTTCGACATTCACCGCAATGTGACAAAAGGCTCTGTGAGAAATCACCTCAAGCGAAAAGTAATTTAGAGGAAAAACCTACAAAAACAAAAACAAAAACAACAGCACAGAAGAGCTTAATAATGGAACTTGCTCAGCCAAAGAGAAAGTGAATGCAGCCACTAAAGCAAACAAATTTTAATAAGAGTCTGAGTGAGCTGACAAACTCCTTCAAACGGGGCTGTTTAACTCATGTATGCAGTGTTGCGTAATGGTGCGAGCCAAGGTGCTCAGACAGCACCCATGCGCAAAATTCTTCCCAGCACTCGAACTTGAACTCTTTGGCTGTGTGAAATGGGTGGGCTTGTCATTTTACAGTAAAAGAAAGAACACACGGGGAAGGGCCCGTGTCACGGCAGGGCGCTTCAAAAAGGGGAACAATGAGAAATGTGCAGTGATGTCTTCTGTAGCTCGTTCACACAACATGAGCAAGAACAAACCCCCCCCCCCGACTGAAGAGGGTAAACACCCAAAGACTAACTGGCATGGTGTTGCGTCACCTTAGAGTGCCGTTCAAGCTGCATTGACACAGAACTTGGCCTACTTCACTTAACCTGAGTAAATGACACAGCTCTGGCATTTCAACACTAAGAGGGGACACAACTAGCTTCTGCCAAAACAACTTCAAGGATGCAATTTATCTTCATTTTGACAAGTAGAAAACACATCTTTGATTTATAAATTGCCCCTTCACTTGTTGTTGTTTTAGTTCAGATGGAGAGCTGAATTCTCGGGGTGTTGGGATGTTTGAACGTGGTGCAAAAACACATTTAACACATAAATAAATTAAAACCACACAAGGAGTTATACCTGCTCTGCGACAAAGATTTATACAACAACACTGTCATGAAAACCACGTTTCTTATCTTGAACAAGTGTTGCGTAAATGTTAAAGATTGAACTGTTGATGAAGCCTTAACCTGTAATTCAAGAACTGTGAATAAGAAAATGAAATGTTTTCCTGGAAGCAGCTGGAGATTGGGCTGTGATCTAAGATTGAAAGATGACTATGGTTTAACAAGTACGATATGATTATCAAAGCTTTAAAAAAAAATAAAAAAATAAAATAAAAATAGTCATAATTAACCCAAAGCTGCGGCAAGCGCAAGAGAGAGAGGAATGGTGGTCCAATCAAATTGACAAAGACCGGCTTTCCAAACTGATATAGAATTACATAAAGATGCAAAAGTTTGGTTTATGTCTCTTAGTGACAGACGGAGAGCAGAGGAGGTGACACTTAGGTTGTATTGAGTCCTGGTCTGTGGATTATTGGCCGTGAACTCCACACCACTTCACAATGATTGATGCACAGAAATCAACAGAAATGTCCCGTACATCTATTTCTGATAATTAAAAACTAAAAACCTCTCCAATTTGGTGCCAAGGATTTCTAATTATGTTGCTGCTGTCTCAAAACGGGACATTGGTTTTATTTGATTTTTTACTAGTTTAGAACCAAAAGTTTAAAATGAAGACTCATCATTTTGGGAAAAGTTCAAAATTGGGTCAAATTCTGTCCAGTATCGATTAAGCTGCCGGTTTGCGTTTCTGTCACACATTTTATGAATGTTTACTACATACGATGTTGGTTCACTATGGCGCCCAACCATGACCGTGTGATGGTCAAGAACGTAAAGTATCACTGCATGTTGAATAAATCCAGTTCTACCGGGAAGAATTGAACACAGACCAGCTTCATCACATGAGAGTTAGAACATATGACAAAAGATTGCTTACTTCTTTGACAGTGGTTCTGCGTCCAGCAGCGTTCACTGAAGTGTCCGTTGATGGTGGTAGTCTGGCAGGTGGTCTTTCCGATGGCGGCCCCCGGGCAAACATCTCCGCACTCTCTGTCGTTCTTGTTTGCCATGATGTAGTTGTCCTCCACTGTGTCGAGGATCTTGGACCAGTCCAGAGTGGAGAGGTAGCAGAGATCTGGGTTCTTCTCAATTCTCACGGCTCCACGGGTGATGTTCATCAAGTTTCGGAGGCCGATCTCTCGCAGCTGGAGCATCTCGAACATCACCAGGGCGTAGTTGAAGAACAGGTTGTTGCCTCTGATCACGGTGAGGTTGGGGAAGAGATCGCTGAGGCTCTCCATGCCGTAGACCCTGAAGAGCAACAGGTAGTCTGTGATCACCATCAGTTTGGGGAAAGTGAGGCCTCGGAAATCCTCGGGCTTGGTTCGGAACATGAGCAGGATCTTCAGGTGGCCTTCGATCACAGTGCAGTTCTCAAGCGTCTGCAGGTTGGTCACATTGTTCCGGATGTCCTTGCTTGGACACACTGAAAAGACAGAAAATACAAAGCTTTATTAGAAAATAAGGTTGCGATGATAAAAGAGTTCTAAACATTGGATACCAGTCTTGCAAGAATCAAATGCAACCTGTTTTGGTGGCACAGCAACAGAAGTACAAGGGCGCCGCATATTGGGAAATGATAATGAATTGTTCTTAATTAAGTCTGTCTCTGTCTAAATAGCACAAATACGTTGGTAACAATTTGTATTTGTACAATTTAGACACTACTGCCCTCGCTGCATCTTTTGGATAAAAAATATGACCTAATGGTGCGTTCCATTTGATGTCAGAACTCGGGAATTCAGAGTTGCCGGTTTGATACGTCATTGGGAACACCCCGCCTGAAGTCGGAATTCCAACTTGAAAACTGAGCAACTTCAGTAGTCAAGAGTTAAAATCCAACATGGCTGCTACTGCTACGTGCATCTACAGTTTAAGTTGCAGCTATTGTGTTTATTGGCAACTTAGTCCTCTGTTTGTGTAATAAAATCAATCAATGTGAACGTATCGTGCAAGTTCTATCTGTAGACATGTTACTTTTTGCACACAAACTATCCTGTAGTGTGTCGTCATCACCGTGTTAGCTAACAAAACAAAGGTACTCCTGGAGGCGTACATGTTGCTTGTCTGACTTGTTGCCAACTCGCAACTGGAACGCGGTTAACCCGGGTGTGGCGCAATCCCAGCTCCGAGATCCGAGTTCTGATGTAAATGGAACCCGACATAAGAACTGCAGTTTTTTTTAACAGCTTTAATACCTTTCTGAATGATCATTAAAAAAGGTGATAGTATCGTTTTAAAACACGTGGTATCAAAAAGTATCAAAAAATCGTAAACCTTAGAACTAAATAACATTGTGTATGAGCCACAGAATATCTTTCAAAATGTGTGTTTTATGTTGAAAGGCTGGGAGGCACAGTAAAGACTCGTGCCTCTAAGAATAGGGCATGTTGTGATTATGAAACAACGCAAAAATAAATTCCCAAAGACAATCAATCTTCTGGATTGGCCGAAGGATCGTACCTTAATAAAAGTGACTGACGTATTAGGCGAGACGTCAGTTTTGCAAACTAGGAAAACTGGGTTAAAGAAGTCTGAGACGTTCTCAAGGAGGATAAAAAAATAGCTCTTGGTAATTAGAGAGGATATTTTGCTGGAAAAGAAAAATGCGGTCATGTCTCTGGCTTTGATGAAGACCAGGCTATCTTTGCTGACGTGTTGTTTAGCAACCACATATCTGGCTGAGAGCCACTGTCAAATATGGAGCGCTGTCACCAGAGTGAGGCCATGCTCATCCTTAGTTATGCCGAGTTGATTTGTGGACTTGCTTCTGAAACTCAAGCCCATAAAAAACATTAGCTAATGCGTTAAAAATATTCGTCTGTGAGGGGGGATTGAGGCACTAACAGCCACGTATTGCACCAGTGGGAGATTTGTGGCTTTGTCAGTCTTCACCCAGACGTACAGTATGAGCCCATTGGGTGTGAAATTCCTTAACTATGCTATTGCACAGACAAAAAAATGAAATTGTATTTCAACACAACTGCAGGAGATATTCATTTGTTTTAAGTATAATATTATATTTGATTAACTACTAAGTTTAGTTTTGTTATATTTAGTCTTGGCATTATTATCATAAATCCTCTCACCCCTTATTGATGTTTCAGATCAGAAGGCCTTGGCAGAAGTGTCTTCTTAGCACTTATTTGCGCTATCAAAGGCCAAACAAATCCATGAGTTGTGACATAAAACACATAACCAGAAATGTTAATCCTCAACTTCAGATAGCCAAAAGTATAAACTCTTTGGCTTTAACTTTTTTTTAAACTTCTCATAAGATGAATATGGAACATTTGATGACATCTTTTCTTTAAATTCCAAGTCCATGAATCACCATCTCTGATTGTTTCAGGTCTAAGATCCTTCTGTAAAATCTATCACACACTATTGCACTCAGGGGGTTTCTGTATGGAGGGAGCGGACACAGTAATTAAGGATTTCCTCGTCTCTCTTTTTCTGGAAATTAGCCAAACTCCAGAGCATATGCTTTTGTGACATAACACACAAGTAATGATGGTCATAAAAAATAAAATGTTCCTTTGCAGGTGCAACGTGGGACATTCCAGTCCCCAGTTTTGCAGTTCGTGAGTCCTGGGTGCAGCTGGTGGGAGTGCTGCCTGGTGAGAGGACTGTATTTGTTTACTAACTGGCCCACCATGGATCTGAGCACATCAGGCCAACTGGTCAGCCACGTGGGGAAGAGGTCTAACAGCTAGGCGTGCACCTCTTTATGGCAGCAGCTCATTTTACACCTTCTGTTACATAAGAGTACAAGACAACCGACACACACACACACACAGTGTCCAATCACAGAGTGTCCAAACAACAAGCTTTTCACTGCATGACCTTAACCAGCATGCTCACTATCTACAGTTCAGACTACAACTGTGAGGCTTGTTTAAAGTACACACCAAATGTCCTAACATGGGTTTAAACTGCAAGATCAAAGTTACTTGGCTGCATTTCTTTTTTTAAACTGCAGTTCTTCTTGTGGTTTGGGGATTAGAGACGTTTTGTAAGCATGAGCGGCATGCCTCTAAACTTCTACACATCCACCTCCAAATGAAACAGGTCCCATCGACGTGACGGTAACTGCCAGGAGGAGTGTGCACCAGGGGAACACAGACGCGGTATTCACAACTACAAAGACTCTCTCTGTGTCTCACCCCACACACACACACTCTCAAACAAAAACAGTTTAACAGACAAAGACGCCAGAGGTTCAGTGCAAAGGGGATGGTGGTCCTGTAGCTGCAGCTGAGTCGGCCATCAGAGTACCGAGTGACCCTGGGAGGAGGCGAATCATCACAGGGCGGCGAGTCCACGCTCCCTTCAGTGTACGCTTTCAGCCAAGCCAGTATTTTTAGCACCACATTCCCAATGGAGAATTTAATACACTCCAGCCGTTCCGATAGTGGCTCGCATTGGATACTGGAACATGGCAGTCCTGGTGTGTAAGTGAGGAATTTCAGAGCGGCAGCAGAGAAAGGACTCTGGTCGAGCTGATTTTCTTCACGTGTGAGAGGACTCACTATGGAAACAAAACTTGGCAAAAGCTGGAATTTTTTTTTCCTCCTCCAAAACTATATTCGTTGCTGTTGTTGTACAGTGGAGCGTCGACCTTCAGTTCACCACCGCAGGAGAAAAACTTTAGCAAAACAAACCAGGTTCATACCAGAATTTAAATGTTGCCTGTATTGTGAGGAAAGAGAAGAAAAAAAACTGGGAGGATTTCACAAAGGTTACCATGGTGACCGGGCCAGCTCCAGCTCTCCATACATTCCCCGCTAACAGCCAGACCAGACCTAAAAAACACAGCGCCGGGGCTCTGAATCACCAATTAGAGTGATCAGAGAGGCTGCAGGTCTTCACTGACCGCTGCCCTCTGAAGTCTCTCACTGTCTGCACCCCTGAGACTAAATCAACTTTTAGGTTAATTAATAAGAAATGAGAAGTGTGAGAGTTTTCATTTTCTGGCAATACTGTGAGCAAGAACAGCCTGTTGATATTAAATGAGATCATAGCCGCACAGGAGCGAGCTTAAATCAAAGTTTAAAGGTTTCTGTTCGGAGTATTAGTCATCTAAAGAAAGGAGCATAAACAACAATTAAATTATCCTCCAAGCCTAACATGGCAAATTTGATTTGTATAGCTCTAATAAATAGCAGAGTTAAATCAAAGTGTCGTCTTATCTAAGATGTTAAAATGGATCACAGTGGCTTCTGAAGAGATAATCAAATCAATGAGTACGGTGCAGAAGTTCATTCTTAGCCCTGACATAGTAGTTTGGCTGAATAGTCCCAACTAAAGCTTCATTTATTAGCTTTTAGATTTTCCATGGATGTGATTACATAACGGTGGATTGTGTTCTCCTCCCGTTGCTCTCCACATGGGACTGTTTTCCTGACAAAACCAGATCAGAACACATTCTGGTCTCATACCTGAAGCTTCTGCATTTGATGCAGAATATAAAAAGAGGGGATGCTGGTGGCCAAGTGGTTAGGGCGAGCATGCCGTGTACAGAGGCTGTAGTCCTAGAAGCGGACGGCCCAGGTTTATATCCGATTTGTGTCCTTTCCGGCTGGTCGTTCCCCACTCTCTCTCTCCCTATTTCTGACTCTAATCTACACTGTCCTATCTCTACAATAAAGGCATAAAAGATAAAGAATTAATCTTATTTTTAATAATCTAAAAAGAGATGTATTATGTGTTTAAGTCGTATATGAAAATCTGAAAAGAATGTAAGCTTGTTTTGATCATCATTTTAAGCAAACATTTTAAGACCCCATTCACATGTTTTAAAAGTACAATCAGGCTCTGGATATCTAATTCTTCACATCATGTTGGGAGTTGCAAACATGAGGGTAAGGTTGCTGCCACATTGAGTAAAATATATGTACTTCCCTTCTTAGTGGAAACTCTATTTTTTATAGTTTTATATATATATATATAAGTGCTTAATTTCATCTCTCAAAAAGGTGAACTGAGCTGGCAGGTTTTTCTGTTTCCAATTCAGCAAAATTCATGTTCTTGCTCACAATTGAGGATGTCTTATCTTTATAGAAAAAAGTATGATATTAAAACTGAAAGGGGTCCGGAAAAATAATTATATCTCATATGAATCAATGGAAAATAACAGCAATTATTCTAAAAACAAGTTGGAGTTTCAAAGGCTGTAAATGGCTTAAATTCTGTTCTCAAAGACTAAAATAAGAACAACATGGAAAATGAATGTCTGCATTTTGGACTATCGTTTGAACACAAGTCATGTGACAACGACACCTTCAGCCCCACAAAGCTGATATCTTTATTGATTGGGGGGGCGGGGGGAACAACAACAGCAGACTAATGAATAATGCAAAAGCTCATTAACTGCAGTCCTACACTTAAATGCAAAGTGTAATCACATGCAGCGTGCACTGCAAT